TTGCCTTGTTTTCCAGAAAGAGTCTTGCTCTGTCACCCAAGCTGGAATGCAACAGCGCAATCAGGGCTCACGGCAGCCTCTGCCTCCTGGGTTCAAGCAATTCTCCTGCCTCAGCCTCCTGAGTAGCTGGAATTACAGGCCCGTGCCACCATGCCCGGCTAATTTTTCTATTTTTTAGTAGAGATGAAGTGTCATCATGTTAGCCAGGCTGGTCTTGAACTCCTGACTTCAAGTCATCCAACCACCTCAGCCTCCCAAAGTCCTGGGATTACAGGCATGAGCTACCGTGACTGGTAGGAGTTTGTGACATTAGCGAGTGGAGTGTGTCAGTTATGTTGCATACCACATACGAAAAAACCATATATATAATCATAAAAATAAAGTATTGTGATCCATCATAAAACCAGCAAGTAAATAATAAGTCCATTTATACAGCCTGCAAAATTCTAAACAATTTCCTTTTATGAAAAAAAGCCACAACTTCTACTTGCCACCAGCACACAATATAAGAGCTGAAATACATGTTAACATCACTACTTTCTGATGTATGAGGTTAAGATAATACACAGCATTATAAGGAATGACAATTGACCAACAGCCAGGTGCAGTGTCTCATGCCTGTAATCCCAGCACCTTGGGAGGCCAAGGCGGGCAGATCACAAGGTCAGGGGTTCAAGACCAGCCTAGCCAATATGGGGAAACCGTCTCTACTAACAATACAAAATATTTGCTGAGCATGATGGCAGGTGCCTTTCATTCCAGCTACTCAAGAGGCTGAGGCAAGAGAATCATTTAAGCCTTCTGAGGAGGGGAGGTTGCAGTAAGCTGAGATTACGCCATTACACTCCAGCCGAGTTGACAGGGCAAGACTCCATCTTAAAGGAAAAAAAATAAAAAGGGTGGGACATGGTGGCTTATGCCTGTAATTCCAGCACTTTGGGAGGCTGAGGCTGGTGGATCACGAGGTCAGGAATTCAAGACCAGCTTGGCCAACATAGTGAAACCCCATCCCTACTAAAAATACAAAAAATTGGCTAGGCTTGGTGGTGCATACCTGTACCCCAGCTACTCGGGAGGCTGAGGCAGGAGAATTGCTTGAACATGGGATGCAGAGGGAAAAAAATAATTGACTAACAGTGTCGCAGGGTACAATTATGATATCACAACCACAGTTTTGTAACAGCCAGGCAATACAGCAATTCTGTATATATACATTGCCCTTAGTTATCTAGTTCACTGTGCATAAAATGTAGAACAGAATGTTTACTAGAGAAATTTATAAACTGAGATCAGAGAAAACACTGCATAAAACAAACTGCAAAATAAACTGTTACAAATATGATGCAGACTCCCTAGAATGAATGTTCTTATTGGCGAAAAGCCATGTTGAGAGTTCTGATTCTCCAATAGGATGTTCCTGCACATGGAGCCTTTGAGAGAATCTGGTCCTGGGTGTTGACTACTCGTGAATAGGATCAGTGCTTTTATAAAAAGAGACAGTCAAGAGCTCGTTGCCTGTTCCTTTTTCCACCATCACAGCAGGAAGATGGCTGGCTGAACCACGAGAAGGTTCTCACCAGGAACCTACGTGGCTGCACCTTGCTCTTGGAGTTCCCATTTTCCAGACTTATGAGAAATAAATATCTGTGTCTTAAGCTATTTCATTTTTGTTTGTTTGTTTTTGAGACGGAGTCATGCTCTATCACCCAAGCTGCAGTTTTGTGGCACAATTCTCCTGCCTCAAGAGATTCTCCTACTTCATCCCAGGCTCACTCTGTCTTTCAGGCTCGAGTGCAGCGGTGCGATCTTCGCTCACTAAAACTTCCACCTCCTGGGTTCAAGCGATTCTCCTGTGTACCTGGGATAACAGGCGTGCACCACCACGTCCAGCTAATTTTTGTATTTTTAGTAAATACAGTTTCACCATGATGGCCAGGCTGGTCCTGAACTCCTGGCCACAGGTAATTTGCCTGTCTCGGCCTCTTAAAGTGCTGGGATTAAAGATGTGAGCCGGCCGGGTGCGGTGGCTCAAGCCTGTAATCCCAGCACTTTGGGAGGCCGAGGCGGGTGGATCACGAGGTCAAGAGATCAAGACCATCCTGGTCAACATGGAGAAACCCCGTCGCTACTAAAAATACAAAAAATTAGCTGGGCATGGTGGTGCGTGCCTGTAATCCCAGCTACTCAGGAGGCTGAGGCAGGAGAATTGC